ATTGAGCCTCAATCCATATTGGAGGCTGCAGTCCTTGACCCTCTGCAGCAGGTGCTTCAGGTCCTCTTCAGTTTTAGCAAGCAGGGTTGTGTCATCTGCATAATGCAGATTGTTGATAAATCGTCCACCATAGCGACCCTTTGAACAATGGGCTCTATACCTTGCCCTATCCTGTGCCATCCTCATAATTTCTGGTCTGTTTAAAAATGTTGTTACTGTGTCAGTCCATCTTGTTAAGGGTCTTCCTCTCTTTCTCTGTCCCTTCACCTTTCTCAATATGTCCCTCCCAAAGGCTGGCCCCTGCTGACAACATGCCAGAAGTCTGTGAGACAAAGCTTTCCCATCTTTGTCTCCAAGAAGCTCCCTAGTTGCATTTCCTCTAGGACAGGTTTGTCTGTTCTCTTGGCAGTCCACGGGATATTCAGTATGCTTATCCAACATCACAATTCAAATTCAAACAACAGTGTAGAACTGAAACTCACTGCCATTGAGTTGGAATCAACTCATAGCTGACCCTCCAGTGGACGAGATTGCCTGGGAGCTGCTGGTGGATTTGAACCACCAAGGGGGCACCATTTTGGGTTAGAAGCTCCACTCCATGGATGAGCCACCAGAAGCTCCCTCCCAGTATACAGTCGCAGGTCTTATGGCTGTTGAATAGTGTAAGGCTCAGCAGGCTGCTGTGAACCTAGAAGCTGGAAACAACTCGACTGTGTTAAGACAACACATACACAGAGATAGGCAAGTTGGACGAATGGGGAAGATCAGTGTCATGGGACAGTTGCGAAGGGACTGAGGAAACCTGGGACCAGAGAAGCTGAGGCAAGGATCTTCCCCCAGCAGACACAAAGAGTTTCCCTTAGAGTGTGGACTTCAGTGTCTTAAACTGGGAGGCAATACATTTCTGTTCATTAAAGCCACCATTCTTGGTGTCTGCCACAGCAGTTGGAGGAACTTAGCATCCCGGTCTCAGTTCTCCTTGGCCTTCTCCAGTGCTTGGGCTCAAGTCTAGCTCCTCATGGCCTGGCCTGGCCTTACCCTGAATTCCCTTCCAGATTCCCCTATTCTCATGACAGCCATGAGGAAATTGAAGTTTGGAGAGCCCAGGTACCCAGGCTTCCAGCTGAAGGAGTTTTCTCTTATTTCCTGGTACTCTCCAGCCAGTGGCTGGGTGGTGGAGGGCTAAAGCTTGAACCCCAGATTTTTTTTTTAGATCATCTTGTTTCCCTGCTCTGTTAAGAGAACTGCTTCCTGGTCCAAGTATAGGTTTCTCATAAGCACATTGAAGTGTTCTGGGATTCCCATTTTCAAGGTGAGCCACAATTTGTTGTGATCCACACAGTCAAATGCCTTTTAATAGTCAATGAAACACAGATAAACATTCCTGTAGTACTCTTTGCTTTCTGCCAAGATCCAGTTCAGGAAAGGAGTGCATCAGGGATGCATCTTTTCTCTGTACCTTTTCAATCCATATGCAGAACAGATAATTCTGGAAGCAGGACTTGGAGGAGAAATGTAGTATCAGGATTGGAGGAAGACTCATCAACAACCTATGATATGCAGATGACACAACCTTGCTTGCTGAAACTGAAGAGGACCTGAAGCACTAGCTGCAGAAGGTCAAGGACTGTAGTCTTCAATATGGACTGAAGCTCAACATTAAGAAAACAAGGATTCTCATCACTGGGCCAATTGGCAGCACCATGACAGATGGATAAGAGATTCAGGTTGTTAATAACTACAGCCTGCTGGGCTCCACAATCAACACTCTTAGCACCAGCAGTCAGGAAATCAAAAGACAGATGGCATTGGGAAAATCTGCTATCAGGGATCTCTCCAGAGTACTGAAAAGCAATGATGTCAGTCTAGAGACTAAAGTGTGCCTAATCCAGGCCACAGTTACAATTACTTGCTAAGCATCAGAGAGCTAGACAATGGTTAAGGATGGCAGAAGAAGAATCGATGCCTTCAAACTAGTGCTGGAGAAGAAAACAAAGAGATCCGTCTTTGAGAGGGTGAAACCAAGTTTCTCCTTGGTGGTTAGAATTTTGAAGCTCTGTCTTACATACTTTGGGCATGTGGCCAGGAGAGACCAGTTCTTGGAGAAGGACATCATGCTCGGAAGGGTGGATGGACAG